GCGTGCTATCAACAACGTTGGGGAAACTCCCACTGGTAGGAGGGGGAGGTCGCTTCGCTCGTCGCTTCAACGCGCGAGAAAACTTTCTTACAGACGCAAGGGAGAGGGGGTCGTATCATAGGGGAAAACTTTGGGGGGGGGAGTTCGTACTTTGCAAACCTTCTTCACACTGTCCTCACTGTTACCTAACAGACAAGGTATCTGGTAGGTTCAGATAGTTCTATCGCCTTGCAATTCACAAAGCTAAGATTTGCGGAGCGATTAAAGATTCTCACGCGAAGCGCTATGTCGGATGCCATCAAAACATCGCCTCGCTCCCCCACTGGAAAACCCTTTCTAAGAGTGGGTGTTGCTGGGTCGCTGAGGTATGACTTCCTAGCCGAGGAGGACATCCTTGCTCCCCCTGATACCAGGCCCCGCCCAGATTGCTACATGAGTTTCTGTCGCAGTTCAGACAGTTTCGTGCGTAGATTTGTAGTTTCTACAGTTCCAGTCGAGCTAAAAAATGCAACGGATCGATCGAGTTCTGCAACACAGCTGCACGCGTCACGCCCATTCATGGACAAGGATTTCCTGGTACTGTGGTGGGGGGGGGGGAATGTGGGTAAGGAGTGCAAATGAAGAGTTATATCCTCGAAAATTTCTAGCCCTATGACTTCCTCCCATCGAGGACCATGGCACAAAAACACGAAAGGGAACGACGCTGCCTAGCGGTAATCGTTGACTGTTAGCGGGTTGACGGAAATTGAGGAAAAGTGACAAAAGGAATGATTGTGGCAGTGAGTCCTAATCTACGGTAAGTAAGAATATAAAAAAAACGAGACTTGAAATATTTGGCACAAAACAACCTCAATAAATGTATGCCATAGAGTGGTTCATCTCCTCAGAATGAACCAGCATAATAATAAATGAGAGATATATGTATACGTACATTGAACATTGATAGAGGAAGGACTCGACCCGGATGAATGAGAGCGTTTCGCGAGCGGTCGAGGAACCGACACATCACCACATGCACGGCGCATTCATGATCCTGACGACATGACGGTCAGGATCAAGTGGTCATCGTTGTCGTGCTGGTCGGATCCTCGCGGCTACGCGCCATTTGTGGTGTGTGTGTGCACGTGCTACAGTCGTAGCAAATTGGTCCACAACCCTGCAACGACGACGGTGACGAGGCAGACCACGTTGAGGTGCACGTGAGACGAATTGCAACCGTCCGAATCGCACGCCTGCACGCAACCGGTGTAGTGATAGCCCTCGAATTTGAAATGACCACAGTGACTGATCCGAACGATTTCTGAAAAATAATGATTGCAGTTCAGAACAAGAGGGCACTAGTAATAAGTACAAGGTATGTGGCCTTTCTGTGCCCAGTTCGTGGCATTACAGTAATCCGACTTCTGCACAAAAAGTTTTTTCAAGCTGCGGTATAGAAGTGGATTCACTTCCACCCCGATTTTTTTGTCGGATGGCATACAATATTTACTAGTTACAAGCTACTAAGCAACGATTGTGACCGAAGGGACATTTCTTCTTACCATTGGAAAATGAGCTCTTGATTGGGTAAACCATTTGATCTAATAAAGATAATGGGGCT